ATTTGGGCGGGGGAGGGTGGAAGACGGAAAACGTGAAAGTGTAAGAAGGGAGGCGTCAGCAGTAGCATGTTTTCGCTTACCCGCCCTGCTGTATGCAGCAAGTAAGGCGACCCGGCTGATGGTACCACGCGACGGCCGATGTGGCATGAGAATATTGTTAGTTGTGTAGGTCATGCAGCTCGTAGCTAACGGGAAAAATCGAAAGCAACTGGTTCTTCGTTGCCCCACATCATTATCATCAGCGACAGCAATACACCGTCGCACCCGAAAAGGAAAATTGCTACTAAAAAGAGCCCTGATGGTAAACTATCGCAAGCATTCTGAGGTGTCCAGGACTACAAATGTTCACTCGTAGACAGAAACCGAAGGTACGAACCTCACTGACATTGGTCAGTAGTTATACCCTGGAAGGCGAAGCACACCAATAACACTTAAACCTTTAACACCGTTCCGCCGCCAGTTCATAATCTAGGAAGGATCCACGCTTACGCTATATGCATTGAGCCACTCAGCTGCGCATTGAAGTCCAGCATTAAGCACTCCTATGGTAACGCCAAAGGTTCGGACCCGAACTCCACTTATCCTGTCTAGGCCTGGGCAACCTGACAGTATCCCAGTCCCCGTGCTTCCTTCTGTTGGTATGGCATTTAGGCACCGCAAGGATGCTGCAGCTGAACGAACGCCAAAAACAATGCAAATCTCAAGGGCAACTCGTCTGACGCTAAATGCACTACAAGAATGATCACAGGATTCTCAGAAACGTACACGCAAATCATTTTTGAAACATTCTACCCGCATGCACACTCCGGTCATCAAACAAGCAACAGCGACCGATAAAAATTTATAAGGGTGGATGATTAATATTGACTTGTAAAGTGAACCGTAGATCCCAAAATGCCGATTAGGTCAAGCGAAAATTTCAGGCCATTTTGTGATGGACGTTGTCCATTCTGGATTTCAGAGATGGCGCATAAAAGCAAACCCACTGTTAGATGATAGTTTGAGGCTCAAACGGGCAGGCACCGGATTCGACCCACGAACCAGTGTGAGCACGTCGGTAAGTTTGCATCTACTTACACAGCAATCAGTAGTGTGAAATAAAATGAAGGTGATCTCCCAGCGCTCATGTCTGACTAGTTTATGCGAACAACCATAGGTCGTAGAGTTCTTTGGTGGACAAAACCCAAAGGGGTGCAGGTAGCCATGTAGAAAGGGAGATTATGAAAGCTCACGGTATGTGGGCGTCACCGACTCCTGTAGCTGGCACAATGACCGATTTATGGACAGCACACTATAAAGACGATATTGAAACAAGTTGCCGTATTTCTGAAGGGCGGCACGTGGATGCCCATAAGTTGCTATCACAGAGACATCGCGGAGATTATTCCTATCACGATGAAAATTTGTAGCCTGTGAGATAGTCTGTTCGGCCTGCATCGTGACTATTCAACGGCGTTGGCATCAGAGTGCCATCACACTGCAGTTCAGTGTAGCAGTGTAGCGAGTTCGCGGCTTACACGAGAAGGCAAATCTTGAAACAATTGCTCACACATGCTCAAGAGAAACGACTCAATGAAGCAAATTACTGTGGCACACCAGAGCATCCCGCAAGCAATTCTGTATACATCTCACCGCAACAAAAGCCGACCATTACGACGAACGTTCGCACACACCTTGGAAATAAAGCTGATACGTAGACAATGTACCACTGTTTGACTCGATGACATTTTGTGCACGTCAGTGAAAACTGCTGTTTCTGTATATCCTATAGTTAGCTGAGGGTTTCCAAATAGAACAGTTCTAGTTGCTTATGGAACACTCCGAAAATATTACGTCCCGTTCTTTAACACAGGAGTATACATGCTGCGTGGATGTTTGGCTTGGTAAACGACATTCGTCAAATACAAGATCTGTTGGAGAATGTTCATACTCATAGTCTACGCAGAGCTGGACAACGAGTAGGTGCCTTCAATTCTCTAAGCAAAAAAAATTTTAAGAAACAATGACAAGATGCTACTGACTTACTGACCGGAAGGTTCGTGGTTCGAACCCAACCGCTGCCTCTCGACTTCCTCTGTCTAGGCTTGGGCAACTTGGCAGTATCCCAGCCCTCGGGTGGCATGGCAGCTAGCCACCGGAAGGGTGTTACAGCTGAACGATTTTTTTCTTGTCTGATGCAGTGTAAGAAAACTAAAAGTCTATCTATTCTGAGATGTCACCGAACGAAGCTAGAGCAACGTCAACCGTACCGTAGGACAGTGGTCACTCTAGCAAACTCATTGCACTGTACGGAACAAATCACCAGACTGATATGATTATACCTCTAAGGGAGTTAGGAACCAGAAGCGAATACGGCGCCGGTTGTAGAGCTGACAGACGCCACGAGTTCTGAAATCAAGATTTCAACTCTTAAAAAGTTTCGACGAAGCAACAGTCCACCAATGAATACATGAATGACATCGTTCGATTGTCTCACTATGGTAAGGCCGTCACGCTGTGTATCCGCATTCCAGTCCCAAAAGCCCATTCGATACTGTATGCAATCTTTGGCCTACTATACGTCAGCTTGCCTATTGACCTGTTCATTAGCTTGTCTCAGTCCTCCTATTAGTGTTGTATGTAGACAGACTACAATGTGACACAAAATGTCATGGAATCAGGCTGCTTGTCGGGACAGAACCGACACGCAATGTACTGAGCATGTACTGAGGCTATGAATCTGAATTCAGCCAGTTGTGAACTCTGTAGACACTGCATGAAACAGCATCCGGACGCTGGTTGAGGGATCAACATAAAGGAGGCAAACAAATGATGTCTCCCGGCTGCGACATCATGGATGAAGGACTGAGGAGTCAGTTGTTTACGTGCCTCGAAGAGTCAGGCTACATAATCACAGTTATTCTTGTCTGAATCCAGATAACCTGAAAGCATCCATAGTTTTCGGGGGCCAGCCGTCCCTAATAACCGAACAGCACATCATTTGGACGGATGTCACGTGCAGGACACGGACCAGACGAGGGCATGCCCTGATTGGTCAGAATGCCAGCCAATCAGAGTCAAGCACCTTTGACTCGACGCTTCTCGCCCCCTCACGGACATTCTGGCACGACCTTGTGGAACACTCTATGACTACCCTATAAATACAGTTGTAATGATTTTCCTTTGTCTCCATAATGGGCTGTGTAGAGCTACCGTGCCTTTTGATATACCGTAGTGGGCGGAGCAGGAAGCCAAGGGACCGATTCAGAGTTGCATTACCGTACATCAAGTTATAACACATAGGCATATGTCCTACAGGTTGGTTGACAGTGTTGCACAAAAAGATCGCCGGAATCGAGTAGTTTATTGCATCGACTTCAAGGTTTCTATCGGTAGCGGACTTTTTGCCAAGCCATCTCGTAATATCTATACATCAGTGAATGACCCGAATTAAAATATACTGGGGCAGTGAACTAATGACCTTCACGACAAACGACCGACCAGGAGGCAAGGCACTGTCAAGTAATATGCACACGCAGACAAAAAAAGAAGCATTGATGGGAATACATAGAACAATACTTGTTTTTTTACAACATGAGCTCAACAGAAATGCATACAGTGCCTAGTGATTACACATTGTTAAACCAGATGCAATGGGAAATAACCGACTGGAAAAGAAGGAAAAAGTTAGGAATACCCGATAAAAAGTGACAACAAATAGAAGGAAGAGACGCGAGTCTTAATTGGGAGCTAATTCAGTTGCACAGGAGCTCGGATCATCTTCCGTCGTCAAACTGGTTTCCGTGGTGGCCTGAGGAGGAGATATAGGCGTGCCAGCACTCTCATCCGGGAAACAATCAGCACCGCTTCCTGGGTCAATGAGAGCTATTGTCTCGGAGTCGTCCGGTTTGATTTCTGCATCATCCACCTCGTTCACAATTGCAGGTTCCGGGACGGGCTGCATACCATCTCGTTCTACGGAGGAAGGCGTTGGAAGTGGTGCGCCTTCTTTCAAAGCAATCCCAGCGTTTTGTCCAGATGGCACGATATTGACAGAGTCTGAAGCGAAAGCAGCAGAACGAACATCCTTTGGCTGCTGTTCCGTATGTTGACCTTGGGAACTGGAGCCTGCTGACGAATAGCCTGCACCGGGCCAGGAAACATCAGCTGATTGTCCATCTTGTGGGTGATGTTGAACCAACTGAGTAGGAGTTGGTGAAACATGTCCACCACCATGCGTGGATGGGTAGCTCACTGAAGGCGAGGGAGACGTCGTTGCTATTTGAGGACCAGGTGATACCTGCACGGTGGGCAGAGGGTTAGGACCGGGAGGGCGATGATCCACACTGACAGACGGTGCAGAACCAGGCAATGTGCTATAGGCTGGGTGTTGAGGGACGGAGGACGGCGCTTGACTGGGCGTATACTGAGCATGAGGGGATTGTGTCACGGTATAGGATCCCTGTGGTGGCGGTATATAATTCGGAGGATGAGACTGCTGAGGATGCGGTTGTTGTTGCTGTTGTGCAAGCGCTTGTTGTTGCTGTTGTTGTTGTAGCTGAATCGCTTGCTGTTGTTGATGGACCAACGCCCTGGCACGGTTTTCCATGGTTTTAATAACTTCCATGTGGAACATTTGACGTTCTTGAAGAAGCTGTTGACGCATTTGTTCGATCATTTCATATTCATGTTCCATGATGGCTTCCAGCTCCTAAAAGCAGGAAAGCAAGAAGGTTGAGGTCACAACATGGACAAAATTAGGGCACAAGCCAAATCGAAACCTCTCTTTGTAGAAAGATCCATTAATGAAATTAACCTCTACCCTTCCATTCTTCATCTACGAGGTGACAGTCAGTTGAGCAGATGCCGATCTGGGGTACGGGACCTTAATTTTGCTTGGGAATGTTCACTTCACTTATCGCTTTGAGGAGAGGCGATTACGTTAGAAACAAAAACCTTATCGCATCGTCAGACCAAACAACGAACACCAAAGCGAAAAGTGTCCTGCCAACCGTAAGGAAGTGACCTATTAAAATATCCACTGCTGGCACTAAGGTCACCAGACATAAGAAGGAACACAATCGGGGGAACAGCCAGTGATCAGGAGCCCTTACAGCATATGCTGTCCTTCCTCCAGAAGACTGACGAATGCAGTCTAGCCAACCTATCCAAGTGAACACACCCTACATCTTAGTTTCGAACAAAGAGAGCGATTCGATATACCAACGGCAATTAGCATCATTCGGGTACGCCAAAATTCAAGTGTTTAGACTTGGTGGTTGACGAAAGCATAGGTAACTCAGTACCGAAACCAGAGCTTGTTCAGGTTTGAGGCAATCTGTTTTTACTAAAAACGAGTATCATTCAATTCAGCTGTGTCAGGAAGTCTGTAACAGCTGAGCACTGAGGTCGCATGACTGTTTATCTTCTCGCCCACACGCACATAAATTTCAGCAGTACTCGAGAAAAAACACTCATTGGTTTCCAGAGGTAGTTTGATCACGGTCAGAAAATCTAAAGACACATGATGGGTATCTTCCAGACAATTAGTGTTCTCAGTGAACTCAATAAGGTGGGGGATTAATCAGTTAGTTGTTTAAAAAAAGAGTGGTCTAGTGATTATCTCAGTGACCTGCCAAAAGAGGAACTGATTACCCATCAGCAAACGTACACGATATTACATCTCAGTATATAATTGTGAAATAACACAGAACAGCGAACGCTGAAAACCGATTGGATGGCGTTCATTTGCTATCCCATGGAACAGAATACAATTGAGTGTCATACAAAATCTTTCCTTCCGGGCAAACGAGCTGTCTAATAAGGTTTCTTAATAAAGCAGTCCTAAAGATTAGGTGTGCTTGTGCAGACTATCGCAAAAGCAGGGGGCGGATGGCAATGAATGGACTCATAGAACTTGCAACATTGCAGGAACGATCAACATAGCAGTGGGTCTAGCAAATACGAACAGAGAGGTTCACTCTGTTTTAGACTTTATCTTTCGGCTGCCTTGTTATGGCCCCACAGGGAGAAGGCTCGGTGTTGAGCAGAATCCAAAACCGAAAAACAAAATGGGCTGGAATGTTCAACTGAAATAATTGACTGGCGCCTTTTCCCGACCAAACTGCTCATAAGGTTGACGAAAACCCTTTGACAGCAGCACAGTCAGCTAAAGGACATCACCAACTAGAGATTCAGTTGAGTATGTCGTCAACACCACTAAGACAATTTGCACATGATCATACTCCGTCAAGTGATGAGCATGTTTTGTTGGGCAGATGTGGATGCCAATGAAGTAAAGCGTCACATATTAATTCAATTGCCTGTAGAAAAGAAAAAACCACTATGTGTTGACTGATGGTGGATGCCCAGCATGCATCTCAGGAAAGTGCACGTACTCTAAGTCTCTGCTGGTTACAACAATTCCTCACTAAATATAGCCATCTCCTCAATGAAAGAATCATCCGGAGGAACTGGCCATAAGGGAGTACAGGACAAGTGTCATGTCAAAACCATATTTTGCGTGACACTCAAGGGTGAACGCCGTTAATTTTACGAGGAACTAGCCGTTTTTTTTTTTGGGGGGGGGGGGGGGTTTTCCC